CCCCCCCCCCCCCCCCCCCCCATTTTTCCAGCCATTTGGAATTTTTAATTGAATTTTTTTGTTTTGGGCTCACTGTCTTTTATGTCCATTTAAAAACATATCCCTGTTTGGATTTTACTGAAAAATGTTGATTAATTGTACAAAAAATGTAAATTTGCAGTTCCAAAGACTCAAAGACACTATAGCTTTAGAAGTCACCAAACTTTGGCAGCCATTTTCTCGCTAATTTTACCCCTTTCACCACGTTGGCCCCACCTCCCCCCCTATCACATATATCTCAACTTCTATTCAAGATAGATGGGAATTTTTGTTCATCAAAAGCAAGGTAATTGAACACGCTTCAAGAATATAGGCCTACCAGTAACTCCATATGCCCCAAAATTGACCAGCGCCTGATTCCCCTGTGTCGTTACACATATATGCTGTTAAGACGTTGGTGAACCTATTGACCTAAAATTTATTATATGGCCTTTAAATTTAGTGTACTGAGAGCAGGAGAGTTTGTAAAGCAGATGTAATAATAATAATAATTGCATTTATATAGCGCCTGTCCACGCTCTGCTGCATGCTCTATGCGGTTTACGACCAGTATTACCCCAGCAGACCCCAGAACACTCAGAAACATTCTTGGCTTCCCGGGAAGCATAGGCCTACAGTGCAAGCTATGGATTGCACATGTTCAAACTTTAACTGACAAGATCTTTTGCTGTTATAGCCGGGTACCCATTCCCACCTGGATGAAGTGAGGAAAATTTGTGTAAAGAGGCTTTCCAAGGACACAACAACGGGTCCCTGACGGGATTTGAACCGACAACATTACGGTTGGGAGTCCGAGTGGTAACCACAGAAGCAAGAACATGAAGACAGTCAAATCCTGACATTGACTCTAGTCCCAAGAGACCTCAAGTGTTTTGTTTGTGGAAAAATTCTTCTCAAAAAGAATTGTGCTTGAAGGTCACTAGCGAAGCCATGAGAAGGTTTAACACTTTCCACCCACGCAGCGCGCACTTATCCCCACGGACCGGGATGCAGATATGATACATCAGTAGGCCTACTACACCCTTATCTCAGCAAAAATGCTCCAACCATTAGGAAATTTTCAGCATACTGAGAAAATTGAAAGTGATGATCATATGTTCACCAAAAAAGGAATTAGAATCAGATCTGAAAATGTTAGATCTAGCTCATTCTTCAGCTGAATTCTCATCATGTCGTAAGAGTAAAGCCACACTCATGCAAGGTCTACTCAATATTTTTCAAAAACATTTACTCCTATTGTTATATACAAACTGATTTTCTACCTCAGTGGCCGCACAAGTCATTCAGAAAGGAAATTTAACTTTAACAAGTGTGTATGTCAAAAAGGAGATAACTGCTGCAACATTTTTGTAGCTGTATCACACCGTTGCCGATTGGCTTCCAGTGGGAAAAAGGGATGACTTCCTACCATCGCCGATAGGCGTCCCGTGGGGGCAAAGTGTTAACCAGCTAAACAGATGTTTTGGCATGTAAATGCACCCCTTTAGGAAAGGGAAGATGCCGCTATATGCAGCAAGTTGTGGTATTTGTGATTATCACAAGCTGCATACTTTACTTTTCTCTCTTTACCATGCTAGCTACCTATGGTACTTTGCAAAGGTTTTTTTCCTTAGATGTTAAAGGACATTATCAATTCATGGATGAACTTTAAACGTTATTATTATTGCTGTTATTATTATTTTATTATCATTTTTATTTTTATTATTATTATTATTATTATTACTAATATTATTATTGTTATTATTGTCATTATTTTTATTATTATTATTATTATTATTATTATTATTATTATTATTATTATTATTATTATTATTGTCATTACTGCGGAGTGCAGCTATGTTAGAAAGATTTTGGTGTGAATGTTTCAGCATTATTGTAATTACAATTATATTGTTACCTTTTTCAGGGAATGTCCATTCAAGAAGAGAACAGGAACCGACCAGCGACGGAGATACACAGATCTATGTCTGAACGGGTCGGTAGACATCCAGTAGACCCTTCAACAACTTCCCCCAACGTCCCCCCACTCCCGGGCAAAAGGAACACAGGTCTCGATATGCAGTCCAACATGTTTGGCGGGAGTGCTAGGAGCATCACCAGCCTGGATGCGGTACAGGAGCGGACGCCGACAGACTACAACGCCAACACCATGTACACCTCAGCCGCCACACCACCATTAAATATCTCCGGGCAGACTCAAACGAACAGGAGACCCCCCCCTCCACCCAAATCGACAGTGGGTGGAGCTCCGCCACCTTTGCTCATGCCCAAGCCGAGAAATGCCACGCCCCCTGTGCGGTCCCCGGGAGGGGCAACCCCGGATGACCTTGGTTTTGGTCCCCCACCTGTCATCCCGTCTCGCACTCAGAATACGCTGTCTCCGCCCCCTCCCACTACCCCCGGCAGCAAGACTCCTCCACCCATTCCAAAAAGAAAGCCATCATCAACAAGTACTTAAGAGACTGATTACTGAAAAAATTATTACTGTCTGAAAAAAATTATGCTTGCATTATTTTATTTTTTTGTGTACAAGAGTAGCCAGCTTAGCGTCTGCTCTTATTCTCATCCTGACTGAAACTGAGACACAAACACGGACGCTTAAAGACAAAGACACGCACACACGCACACACACACACATTCCCCCACCTGTCCACCTCCTTTCTCTCGATGACTGGACTATTGGGTTACCTAGTTAGTTTATCTATAGACATTTAGGAATGCAAAATACAGTCAAAATTGTCCAAGACAACCACCCATTGTTGAGGAAAAAATTGGTTGTCTTAGACAGGCGGACACGAGGACCGTGTCATTATAATATAAATAAACTGCTGTAGGGTAAATGGGAAGGGGTCACTTGTACAGGTAATTGTCTTGGACAGGTGGCTGTTTGAGCAGGTTCTCCTGTTTTTCTTTTTCATGTAGTTATAGGAAAGGTTCATGATATTTGTTTCCAAAGCGTACAGAGATAATTGTGTGAAGATGATGTTGTTACATATAGTATGTAGGGGTAGAATGACTTTCATTGTTATTAGATCTGTCTTCTATGATGCTCTGACCCACAAGATAATTTGTGTCAGCTTTATGATTTAAGTTACATTAATATTGATCATGGACAGATGTGTGAAACTCCTTTCCAGTGCAAAATATTCTCAAGATGTTTGTTAGCTTTTATTTGTTTTTTTGGGGTTTTTTAAAAACAAAAATTAGACTAGATCTTTTCTTCATAGTCACTACCGTAGAACTCGCTCGTATCTACCACTTTCATTGTAAAATGATGGGCTGAATTAGCTATTAGCTTTTTTGCAATTTTACATTTTACAGATGCCTCCTTTTTCATTCTTCTAAATAACTGCTGCTTTGCTGTGTAAATCACTTTTACATGTCTTCCCTTTTCTAGTTTTGTCTACCAGTTACTTATGTGAACACTGGAAATACTCAGTGGTGAGCAGCATTGTTTTATTGGAAATAATTAACCAATACTTTTAACATTCTTATTTTATTATTCTTCCATTTTATCATTTATTGGACGAATAACTGACTGAAATTAAGCATTTATACATTTTTATAATAAACGTGTAAGCTCCTATGGACAATTACAGCAGCATGAGCTTGTAACTTTGCTTGACTATGGCATAGGTCGACCTGATACTCCCATATTCTGTAACTTTCAAAAGCATTATAAATGTTTGAAATATAGTGCTCTTAAAATGCAGACCTGTACAGTAGCCCTGTTATGATGACAGGGACCTGTAACTTTGGTTGATTGGTAGTCCATGAATGTTGATGACATAGCATAATTTGTTCCCAGCCTTTCCTGTCTAGATAGTTATTTTTCAAGCCTTAATAGGGATAGTTTTGTACATAGTGAGCTTAGAGAACTTTTTATCCACAGCAACTGCACTGCCTGTGAAGAAAGTGCTTAGTGCGCCAAACTTACTTTTTGTCTCACTCAGATATATTTACTTATGTTTGAAATGTGTGTTTATAAACCACTCTTGCTTACAAATTGTCATAATGTGCTCATTTTAAATGGTAATTAGTTTGCTGAAACAAAATTCTACACAAAGGTCACAGAGTTGTGGTGAGTTTTGAGTGATCACAAATTAATGACTGAGAATGAAGCTGAGATTGTCTCACATACACTTCTTTTGATTAGACAGCATTTCGTTTGTTTTATACTGTGTGAAAATTCATAATCCCTAGAATCCTATTTATTCCACAGAGCAAAAAAAAATTGAAGCAAGTTCGTTTGTGGTCATATGCTTATATAATTATTCAGAGATGTCTGCTTGTAGAATTGCTTTTAAATGATTATTAGCCTTGCTCAAAAGTAAGTACAAATCATAGATTTCATTACTGAATGCTGAAAGTGAACAATAATATCTGCCAAATCGGGAAAAGCTTTTTGTAATAGTAACATTTTGCTTTAATGGAGTCTGTCTCGAATGTCAGCAATGCAGATTATGTAAGAAGTGTTTTACAGTAGGCCTACAGTGTTACTTTCACAGATTGTTTTTGCTTTACAGAAATGGGGTACAAAAGAGCTGTGTGTTTTTGTTTTTTTTTGGGGGGGGTTGTTTGATTGTTAATTCTGAAGGTTCAGTCCTAGGAATATTATCATTATTATTGTTGCTGCGAGGTATAGTGCGCTCAAAAATTTGTAGCGCAACTTATTGTCAAATATTTCCTAAACTATCGAACATAGACTCTCCAACTTTTGCCCAATGACTTTTATCAATTTGTCTTAACAGATCAATATTTTTGTAAACTCCTGTTAGTTGTATTCTAGAAAATTCCTTAATAAACACTAATAAAATATCCAAGAGAGTGATTTTCACAGATTTTAAAAGGTTTACAGCTGGGGCGATATAGCTTATAACAGAAAGTTTATTTTTTTCTAAGCGTGACACTATCTTTATTGAACACATGTTTTGAGAACCTACAGCACTAAAAATGAGTTCACTATAAGAGTAGTTTATTGTAGCAAGTTTTGCCACTAAAAAATGTCATTGGTGGGCTGTGATGTAGGCCATAGTAATATTCAAAATATGTGTGAGAATCGGGAAGTACTGTGAACTATCCCATTTTCCGCGTGACGGAGATTTATAGTATTTTATATAAATCTATGAAGAAAAGTTTTTTAGTCTAGCCTCAATCATTGTGGAAAAATATGATTAAGTTGAAACAAATTGACACAAAATGCTGAGCGAGGTATGGTTGACATTGATTCACCCTTTAAAGAGATATTTGAGGATAGGTTCTGCCTCAAATTTTACTTTTTAGCCTGTGATTTAGTATTTTTCTTTTTAATTGATAGTATTGATCACAAGTTTATGCAGTCTGAGAAATAATCAATTCAGAGTTTAATCGCATCTGTGACGCTTGTTTTTCTGTATGTTATTAAACTGTAACCATGTAGATTTTGTTGAACATATAATGTAGAGGTGGTAGCGTCATTGTCATTGTCAGGCCGCAGGACTTTTATTCGTCTGGTCATGGGTTTGGATTAGTCTAGGCCTGATTTTGTGTCTTTAGGAAAGACTCTTTACTCTTAAGTTTCGTGAGAATGAGCTCCTTCAAAAACAGTAAAAGACATTGTCAATGTATTTTAATTTTTGAGCCTGCTTAAAATGGCAGCTTGCACTGGTGCTTCCCTGGAGGATTCTGAGAATGTTCAGCTGTCAGGGACATAATATATTGTGAAGCACACAGCACCGACATTCAAGTACAGAATGCACTTATGAACGCAATCTATTATCATCATCATCATCATCATCATCATCAATGGCAATTCGAATGGAGTTATTTGGACGAGTGGAGGTGCCGCTAAGCTTATTGACAATGGAGCCGAAAAAGGATCTCGCTCGAAGATTTCTTTGTGGAGTCCGCCAGAAAAAAAATCATCACCATCATCATTATTATTAGTATTATTATTATTGCTTTGTTTTCATTTATGACTGCTGTTTGAAAGCTTTTACTGTCATCAAGTACAGTGCAACAGAGTTCTTGTTTTTGCCTCAAATTTTTAAGATGTGATTTTTTTTCCTATGTTTCTGTAGTAAGTAGCTACTGTTTAGATTTTTTTTTTTTTTTAATTTTAAAAAAAAAATAGCTTTGAAGAAAAGTCTTTTTTTAAGAAAAGCTTAAAGATTCCCATGCTACACAGCAATGTGAACATTATTTGGTATTAGAGAACATTATTTGGTATTAGACTTGGTGCTGATGGAAAAAATCAAGTTGTTTGACCCAGAACTTTTCTGGTACATTTGAGACGAGCAATTCATTATTATGATACTTTTAACATCCAGGCTGCAGTCGATATATTTATCAACGTTTTCAGGCACTCAGAAATTTATTACATTCTCCTGCACAAACAACTCAAAAGCAACGAACTACAAACCCATGTATTTATCAACAAATTTTCTTTTGCTATTGAATTTGTTTCGTACAATATCAGTTTCAGAAGATGTTTTTATAGGGGATACTTATTTCATGCCTTAACCTGTAACAAAATTTGTGTCATATAAATGATTTGTTTTCCATGTTTTAAATTGACTGTTTTCATGTGATTTTGCACCCACCTATTTGCACCTGCATAATTTCCTCAAATGAACTGTGAAAGTATCCTGTCTCTCATAGCTCACCCTTAATGAAATTGGCTGGCCCAGAATCATCAAGGTTGAATTAATTACCTGTAATATTGAGCTCAATATTTCATTTCCCAGAGGTCATATTCTTGTTGATAGTGCAACTCCTATAAAATTTATGGAAGTTTTACAGTACTGCCCACATTTTACCTTATTGATTGAGAAAGGTGTAGGTAATCTGTACTCTGAGGCTTATTTTAACATAAATTTCTGCTCTCTTAGATTCCTTGTCTACTTACTGACTGTTAGTGTATTCCACAAACAAACAGGCAAAGTTTATGGTTCCCAAAGTGTTTTTCTATGTTCTGATCTAGGAGCAGAGTGCTCTGTCTCGTGTGTTTTGATTCAGTAATGATCATTTAGTGTGAGGAGAAAGCAAGGCAAGTACAATAGACAGAAAAAGCAGAGGAGAGCAAAGAAGTGGAATCTACTGGGGGCTCCCCTCTCTGATCACCTGCTGTCCCCTGTGGAGATTTGATTTTCATGAGTTAAACCACTTTGCCCCCACTTGAGGATGCTTGGTAAATGCTCATAGGTGTTGCGGTTTTATTGAGAGAAAAAAAAAGCAAACCCAACTATGTCACTCCCAATAGTTCATATGTGTCAGGACGTGGTGGAATCAGGCACTCGTCAATTTTTGGGCATATGAAGTTATTTGTATCTTCTTAAAGTCTGTCCATTTGCCTTTCTTTCTATGAAAAAAATATCCTTTTATCTTGGATACAAGTCAAGATATTGGCGATTGAAGGAGGTAGAGGTCACCTGGTTTCAGAGGTAAAATTAGCAAGAAAATGGCCGCCAAAGTGTAGTTATTTCCTAAGCTTGAGAGTCTGTGGAAACCTAAAATGTATATCTTTTATGCCTTTAATCAACGTTTTTCAGTAAAAATTCGCACAGAAGTGTGTTCTTAAACAGGCATGAAAGGTGTTGAGTCAAAAAAACAAAAAAATCGATGAAAATTCCTGAACCTGCGGAAAAATGCCAGTTTCTTCACTTTCATTAGATCTATTTTGACGAGCGCCTGATTTTTACCATGCTGCCTCACATATAAAACATAAGTCAAGTTCTTGTGCAAGTATTCTATCTGACTGTCTCCTGAACTTCAAAATCAGAAAAGGATAAAAACTGACCTTTTGAAAATGGGTGTTGTTGCAACATTTTATGGCAACTTTTTGAGAGCGGCTCATATCAGTATGTTATTATAATTCTGTGTACATAGATTTATCTAGCGCGGTGACAAGTCCTGTTTGTTGTTACTTTGGTTGCAGTGGTCATGCACTATCTATATGTTCTTTTGTGATATGACCCCATAGCCACGTGCTCCTGAGACCCACCGGGTACCAGTCTTGCTGCTACAGTCAAAATTGTCCAAGGTCTCCGATGGGGCAAGTTTGACTTTATTTTATGATTTCTTTTTTATAAAATGATTGTTAAATTGTTACAGTGTACCAGGTATTTCAATAATTGATTTCTTTCTCACTCATTGATTTGACCATTTCTTCTAAACAGCATTTCCCCTGAAAGTTTTCATTCTTCTGTCAAACGCATGAAGCAGTGAGTGAACTTCTTGATTGGAAAAATAACCTGTGATCTAATTTGGGTGATTGCTTTTGTGCTTTTTAAGAAGTGTGTTCTTTAAGGTCAGTAAGGGTTGGGATGAGAAATGACAATTTTGTCGTACATAACAGTATTAGGTTTGTTATATAGTTGAAGAACTGTAACTTTGACACCTATCGCTAATGTGTCAATTGCTTATAGCTGTGAAATATGTCAGTCTATGAATATTATAGGTGAGGTAACGTTGCCCGAAATATCAACTCATATTAGCCAGACAAACATGCTGTAACACAGAGCATGTCGCTTTCACCTCCCCTTGTTAAATACACGTTGCCATCTTGTACTCCACATCCATGATAATCATATATTGGTTTTGTTAAAAATAAACATGATGATCAAATGACTAAACTTTCATTTTGAAATTATGTTTTTGATAGTGTCAGTGCACAAAACCCCCATGAAAAACTAGGAAGTACATGAATAAATGTGGTACCAAGTTTGAATGATTTGGATTGTGATGGCAATTTTTCTCAGAGCTGTGGTTACTTATAATTATGTACATTTTCTTTTAAAAGAAATTATCTTTAAAAAAGAAAGCTTTTTCCTGGTATCTATGAAAAGTTTTAATCAGCAAAGATTTTCCTTAAAAATTTTTTTAAAAAAGAAACAATATTTAGGTCCCAAGAACGCTATGTTGAATGTTTCCTCAAGCTTACAGATTTTTGTTGAAGACAGGTATTGCAGCTGTGGGAAATACAGTTGAAAACGTTCAAGACTGCCACCCCTTCACTTCACTCATTGTCAAGGAGGAAAGTGATTGTTTTAGATAAGTGAACCTCTTGGACAGTGTAATTATAATGTAGAACAATTACAAAAAGGGGGGGGGGGTGAGAAGGGATCATTTGTACTGGCGATTGTCTTGGTCAGGTGGCTATTTGAGCAGATTTGACTGTAGATATGTTATTAATGAGGTTGTACACAGTGTCATTTACATGGCCAGACTTCTGTTGAAATGCTGAAACTGTTGAAA